CTGGTTCTTTCCTGTTTATGATTGGTTCAGCGATGATAGAACGCGTGCAGAAACACGACGAACATCATCGTAGTGCGCTCTTGACGCTCTCTGATTGGTCCCATCAGCTAGTAGCGTCGACATAGGAACGCAGTGCTGACTCAAAAGGGCCATCTTATGCCCATTGTAATGAAACGAAGCGACCAGATCAGGCAGCAACAAAACGTAAAGCTCTGTTGTAATTACATCAAAATACAACTGCCTAAAAGTGTACACAACCCAGAACGACCTACTAACTTGAGTGTAAGGCTTCGTGTCGCACGTTAGCTCTGGCAAAGTTTTTGATAGTCACTAATGGGCTTAGAAACTGCTTCAAAGTATTTATACACATATCTGAACTAGTGATGCAAATTTATAGTCACAATAGATTGCTGTTGCGAAATTATTGAACTTTTCAACTTGATTTGAGCTGCTAAAAAGATCTACCGCTGCGTAATATCAGGAAATATAGGGGCATCACAAATTCCCGACGGGCTACAATTAGCTTGGTGGTGAGTAAAGTTTCTTGTCGATCGTGGGGTGCTCCGCTGGCTGGAGAGTGGCTCGTTCCCGGTGACCTCAGTGACTCTCAGGCTCGGTGGTTGAGTAAATATAAATATATTTACAGACGACGAGCAACTTTTCAAAATACGAAAAAGAGAACGTCGCGCTTGACGCACTGTCGTTTGCGACAGCCTCGAACAACGATGATGCGCTTCGGCGCGGAGTGCCCGACCGCGCATGGTGCGGGCAAACTCTTTTGTCGCACATGACAAATTTACGCGGTCCTTGAACCGCGGGAGACAAACGTACCGATCTGAAGACCCGTTTCAACTTCTTGTGGTGAGGGTGTCACACAAGAAACAGGACTGGCGCTGTCGACGGGGATCGTGGATGTCGTCAGCCACTTCGACAACATCGTGTGCCAGAGAGACGATGAGGCCGGTGCTGGAGCGGAGTGGGGCGGTGTTCGGCGGCAGGCGTTTAGGTATGGTGCCTGGAACGCGTCTGCGACTGGTGTGTTTACCGGCGCCAAAAAAATGCTCCCTCGATTTCCGCCTGATGACGTAATAGAAGTGTTTTGCTGTCGCCGGTCGCGACCCTGGCGGCGGTCCCACAGCTGTTGCTTATGTGGCAGACGCCTGTTCTGCTGCAGGTCGCTCTCCACTGTGACAGTCCACGGAAGCTACATCAGCTAGACGTTGGGACCCCTGGAACGCCGTGACGACAGCGACACTCGCGTTCGCTCTACTTTTCGCCAGCATTTCTACGGCCAACCGCCAGGATCGCGACAGGCAACACCATGACACTCTGGCTTTTGTGACGTCATTTGTTGCCACTTCGGGACCACTTTTGATGTATGGGCGGGATAGGACGCTAAACACACCAGTCGGAAACGCGATCCGGGCACCATAGTTCAGGACCATCTGAAACGACGGACATCAACAGACTCAGGAAAACAGCCTCAAGGGGGCTTCGCCAATACCCGATGCTTGCAGCGGCGGCAACCGGGTCTCACGAAACGGCATCTGCGTGCGGTGATCGACGCCGGGGACTCGCAAGTTCGGCGGCGTCAACGACCTTTGTGGGCTCTACAGCACCGCCAGGTATGTGGTCGCTTTCCCTTTCGTCGCCGGCTGACACGCGCGCGCTTAGCAGCATGGCGCAGTGTGACTTGCGTAGGAAGGAGAGCGCTAGTGATGGAGGCGACGAGGGGTCACGTAGGGAAGCGGTTCCGCTAAACGTTCGGTTAGCCCGTGTGAGGGAAAAAGCGAAGGAGCTAGAGCGGCAGCTTCGACTCGCAGAACTCCAGGCGGAGGAGCGGGGAGCAAGAGCATGGCTCCTAGGGGAGCGCCATGAAGAGACGCAGCTTCGGGCAGCGGATGACACGGCGCCCGAGGCTCGCTTTGTGAGGAAGACAGAGCCGGACGCGCAAGGCGACCCGGAGGCAGCCGTGGGGTCTGGGGTCGATCTCGTCGTTCAGGAACCGGACACTGCCGTGGGGTCCAAGGCGATCGCGCTCTCCAAGAAGAGGGGTTCGAGGCCGATCGAGCCGTACCGGGACCACAGACTGCCGTGGGGACCGAGGCCGGTCGTGCCGTACAGAAAGAGGAGACTTCCGGGGGGTCCAACGCCTATCGTGCTCTCCAGGAACCAGACACTGTCGTTGGTTTCGAGGCCGATCGTGCCGTGCTGGGACCGGAGACTGCCGGGGGGTCCGCGCCGATCACGCTCTCCAGGAACCGGACACTGTCGTAGGGTTCGAGGCCGATCGTGCCGTATTGGAACCGTAGACTGCCGCGGTGTCCGACGCCGATTGCGCTCTCCAGGAACGGGACACTGTCGTAGGGTTGGAGGCCGATCGTGCCGTATTGGGACCGAAGATTGCCGGGGGGTCTGAGTCCGATTGGGCAGCTCGCGAACGAGGGTCTTTCTGCGTCCGGGCAGCTGGAAGGGAGGAGCTCCCAGAGAACCAGGTGTCGGGCCCGGCGCTGGGGAGACTGGTAGATGCCGAGGTCGCGAAGGGGGCTGCTGCAGTTGTTCAGGTTTCTGAGGAGAGTGTGACGCGGTGGGTGCCAACAAATGGGCGGCGCGGGAGGTGCCGATGCAGACGCACGAACCACCGTGGGGCAACCACCTATGAGCTGGGATGGCGATGGATCGAATTGACTTCGAAGCGAGTGGCGAACACGATTCCGTGGGAAGACCGATCCGAGCACGCCTTCGAGGGCTGGAGGAAGGTCTGGCGAGCGTCACTGTCCTCGCAACACCCGACGCAGCTCCGGAAATATGGGGCGATTTTATGGTGGCAGAGGAGCGCTTTCTCCCGCTTATGCCCGTGGTGTCAGCGGGCGTGCATGTGGGGAGGCGATCACTGCCGCGGCCCTTGTGAGGTGCCATTGAATCCGCACTCGCTGTGTGGCATTTGCCATGCTTTATTGTTTTTGCTGTCTCTTGTATGCGGAAGCTCTTGCGCTACTGCGGATGTTCTTGCGAGCGATCCATGTCCGCGAGAGTTCAGCTGAAAAATGTTGTGGTTGACCAAGGTTGCCGCCTTCACAAGTAGAGAGAAGTGTTGCTGCTTTTCCATTGTTATTTAGCAATTCGTGTTAGAGGAGGTGTCTTTGTTCTTTTTAACCAACGTGTTTGTTGTTTTTATGTTTCCCTTGAGTTTAAGCGATTTCCTTTCGTGTTCTTGTTGGGGTTTCGGCCATCCTGCTTTTGTAACTGCTGGCAAGTCAGTCTTAGCGCAGTTTTCAAGAGGGGGGGGCGTGTAGAGATGACCGAAAGAGTTTAGCGTAAAGAGCTCGTGGGATTGAAGGCGCGGTCACCCAAAACGTCCTTCAGAGGCGCCCGGTGTCTCACGTTTTTCCTTTTGGCGGCAAGCGGCGGCCAGCTCCCGAGAGTGGTAGCAGATCATTCCTCGCGTGGGAAGTAAACAAAACCTTCGTTCTCAAGGCGGGAGCGGGTGGTGACTCTTGCCGCCGGGGTTCTTGGGGAAATGACTTTCGGCGAATTCCCAGGGGCGCTTTGGAGCGCGTCGGGATCACTTGACCACATCCGGAATGGAGCACACGATCCGAACGGGGTCGCGCTGCCTACGGGTCCCCATAGGAACATGACCATTGCTCCGGGATCGGCGGATGCCTTCCCGTCATTCACCTGCCCGGGAATTCTCTTTCGCGGCCGCCGCGGTTGTTTCGAAAACGTTTTCGCAATCGCGGCGCTAACGCGTGTTCGGTGCACGAGCGGCAGAAATGGCTCAGGAGGTTCTAGCAAAGATTGCCGGAATGCTCGTAGCGCGGCAAAACCTTTTCTTCTCCTAACTGGAAAACGAACCGGTTGTCGAGCCAAGGGGTAAGCAAGCGGCCATTACGAATTCTTCTGAGGCGAGATGGGCGAGATCAGGCGAGATGCTCCGCGAGAAAGGAAGTCACGTCTGTGCGCCGAAGGCTGGCCCGGCTGGCTTCCGGTTGAATCCGCCGAAATCGCCGGAGCGACTTTTCTCGACTCCAGAACAAGATCTGGAGCACGAGTTAATCCAAAACGACCAGTTGAACACGTCCGTCTCGATCCGGATCGCCCAGTGAAGTAGGCTTGCTCCTGAAAAGTCGATCCCGGCGCGCAATAAACGACCAGTGGATTTCACCATTTGTCAAGGCCATGTCGGCGACTCCGGGGGAGAAGAGGTCCGGCCTCTCTTCGGAATGTCGGCGTGCCTTTTTTGGAGAACTTGAGTTTGAACGAGCCTGTACGCGGAGCAAGTTGTTTTCTCCCGCGGTCCCGAGGGCTCCGCGTACTCTGTCTTGCGGGACAGAGAACTTGCCGTGCGCGGCAAGGCACTTGGCGCCGAGGCGCATCATCGTTGACTGAGACTGTCGCAAGCGACAGTACACCGAAGGGTGACGTTTTCCTCTTTGTAGAGGAAAACGTCACCCTTCGCCCTTTGTAAATATATTCATATTTACTCAACCAGCGAGCCTGAGAGTCACTGAGGTCACCGCAAACAAGCCATTCTCCAGCCATCACACCACACCACGATCGACAAGAAATATTACTGTGGTGTAAAATGAATCCTGGTTAATCTCTCGCCAGAAAATGATGAACGATAAAAAAAGCACACGCAAACATTTTTTGTTTTTCTGGAGTGCCTGCTCAGCTTGAAAGGTATACAAAATCAGCTTACTGGAGAGCAAGAAATGTAATCATAACAGGTTACGCCCCGGTCTTTTTTATTGTGTGACTATACTTGCATGAATAACTATAATTTTGCATTAGTAAAAGCTTTCCAGTCGCACAACTAAAGCTCAGAAGTCCTGAAATGTGAGAATCGTGCACCTCCCATTCCCTTGTTTGTGAGGTAAGCGAAAAGAAACGAAAGAACAAACATTAATGGTAACTTATGACAGTACTAAAGATGACGTCAGCACTGTATCAATAGGCACCGATCCAACACCTGTAAAAATTCAAGCTTTCATTACCGGTTGATTTGTATCCCCAGCCGGTGACTTCAACGCTGCCCTTGCACGGACGATCCTTCTTGGGTAGGCAGACAGTGCCGATGTGCCCCTTGCTCTTTTTAAAGTCAAAAGGGGCAGCTAACTTGAGCAGAGCTATATCGTTGGCCGGGAAATGATACGAATTGTGAATGGCAAATTTTCGCACCTGCGGGCAATGAAGAAATTGGTCGATTTATTCTTTGCAATCGTATAAATAATATTGGAGTCTTAATCGATTAGTCCCTCGATGAAAATAAAGTGTCGAAAGGAACAACCGAATGCCCATAATAAACTTCATAACATATCACTAGCAGACATAAACACGTTAACCCCAAAAAGTAACTAAATACCATTGCTTGTTACTTGATCAAGACCGAATGAAAGATCTCCGGAGCTCACCCCCACGTTTGGACACTTCGCCATTCGTCGCCCAGCAACAAGGGTTTATGTCAGTAGATTCAAGCGCACAAAAACACGCCCTTTTCACTGATGCTTCGGGCCACGGCACCGCAGTTTCGATCTCTGCTCACTAGTCATGTTTCTAAAAATTTTTTACTAGGATACCCACGTTTACCGTGAGGATGTTTGTTTACTAGCGGTGCCGTGGCCATTCTATTTCTTGAAACGTATTCGCGCGGCTGTGCTTTATCTTTGGCGTCTCTTTCTGCTTAGTGGTGATATTGAGGCGAATCCTGGGCCAATGACGAAGGAAGAGGAGGTTAAGCTTGACCTTGTGACTAATGTACTACAACGACTCGAGATTAGCAATGCAAGTGCCCTTTATTCCATCAATAAGCTTTCAGAGAATCATATCACCCTAAAGGATACCTTGGAATCGTCAGCAAAAAGAGTCCAAGAGCTGTAAACTAAAGCGGAGATGGATCCTCCACCTCAGGCTTCTGTAAACATCGATGAGAATATTTCTAATCTGCAGGACAATATCGGTGCCTTAGAAAATTGTACCCGCCCATTAAATGTTCTTTTCTTCGCGTTTGCAGGCACCGATGAGTTTGAGACGTGGGAGTCTTCTGAACGCCTTGGGACCGAGTTTTGCTAAAACCGGCTTGGCATAACGTTTCATCAATCGCCAGAGCTCCCCGTGTGGGCGAGTTCCCGTCCGCTGAAAAGCGACCGATCATTGCCAAACTTTACAATGGCGAAGATGTGGAATTGGTGTTAGCTCAAGGCCTCGAGCTAAAGAACACACGATTCCGCATATCACGTGACTACTCTGAGGCCGTCCGCGACAAACGCCGTAAACTATTGCAGTTTTCAAAAACAACAAAAGAAGGATGGTAACCGCGTTCGCGTTGCTTTTAACAAACGTTTTGTGAACAATTACACTTACATGTGGGATATTGATATCAATGCCGCTGTGCTTGTTTCTCGGCCTAGTGCAAAATGACACACGCCCACCTCCAGTCAGATTCAAGTGTCTTTATTGTCGTTGTGATCGAAGCGTTTATCCCCCCACAGTGTTTGTTATTTGTACACCAATATTGTCACGAATGACAATGAATAAGGCGATGATAACTGAAGAGACTAAACGTCTAACGGGGCGAACTTGTGCCCAAAACAAAAGTTAAAAAGATAACAGTAGAGCGTCGCAGGCGTGGATGGCGGCGTAGCAGCAGGATCGTACGCTGGGGCGAGACTGAAGTTGGCTTGCCCCGGAAAGCCCCTTATGAACACGCGTGGGCTTCTGGAATGATCCGCGTAGAAGGTTCGACGCGTAGAACACTCAGACCTACAATAAACAACATTGTTCTCGAATTCCCAAGAACATTAAACTGAAAGAATAAATAAACGACGAGTAACTCCAAGGAATCGAACCCGGGCTCTTCGCGTGGGAGGCAGGCGGGATATCCTTTATTCCATGGCCGCGCTGCCGACTTCCTGCCGGCATTGCTCACCCGATTAAAAAGTGCATCGCCCGGATGCAATACAGAAGAAAACAAAGGAAATGAAAAGAACGGCAAACTAAAAAGTAATTTGAAACATATAATGTCCACAGTCCTATCGAGCGTAGTACGGTTTCAGGCGCACTACGTGGACGACTTCAGGTCGTGGTGGGTGGCGTGATGATGTTCTTGTTCCGTCAGGCATCACCTCGTAGTTCTGATCTCCAAGTCGACGAAGCAGTTTGTAGCGTCCGAAGTAGCGCTTCGGGAGTTTCTCGCTTCGACCGCGTCGTCGTATCGGGGGCAAACCCACACACGGTCTCCGGGCTTGAAGCGAACGTCGATCCGCGAAGGTTGTACCGCGTAGCGTCGGTACGTTGTTGATCTTGAATTCGGAGTCGGGCGAGCTGGCGAACTACCTCGGCTCGTTGAGCAACTACCTGGGCGTCGGGGCTTCCATCGTCAGCTGATTCGTGGGGTAGTATCGCGTCGAGCATGGTCGTTAGCTTTCTGCCATGCACCAGCTGAAACGGTGTTACTACTGTGGTCTCTTGTACCGCCGTGTTGTAAGCAAACGTGACGTAAGGTAACACCTACTCCCAAGTCGTGTGTTATACGTCGACATACATGCCGATCATGTCGGCGATAGATTTGTTTAGCCGTTCTGTTAGTCTATTTGTCTGCGGATGGCACGCAGTGGTTCGGCGATGGCCGGTGCCGCTGAGACGAAGGATCTCTTGCGTCAGCTGGGCCATGAATGAAAATCCACGGTCTGTGATGAAAACTTGGGGCGCCGTGCCGGAGGACAATGGACTCCATGAAAAACTTGGCGACTTCAACAGCCGTACCTGATGGAAAAGCTTTCGTCTCGGCGTAACATGTGAGATAATCGGTGGCGACGATTATCCTGCTTTTTCCCGACGTTCACGGCGGAAATGGGCCAAGAAAACTCATTCCGATCTGCTGAAACGGCGTGGACGGGGGATAAATTGGGTGCACAAATCCTGACGGCTTTGTCGGCGGTTTCCTGCGTCGCTGACAATCGTGGCATGATTGAGTGTAGAGGTGAACGGTCTTCGGTAGCCTCGGCCTGTAGTACTTTACCCGAATCCTAGCGAGCGCCCTGCTGTAGCCAAGCTGTCCAGCTGTTGGGTCGTCATGGCATCCTTGGAAGATTTCTTCTCGAAGGGTGGAAAGAATAACCAACAGCCATGCTGTGCTGTTGTTGACGAGTTTTCTTTATACAGCACCCCTTGCCGTATGGGAGGGTAAGCAGGATTAATAAGAAAGCACGGGGAACCGTATTCACTTTTCCCTCTAGGTGTTCGATGAGCAGTGATGGCCTGTAGCTGAGCCGGTTGGTTATCCATGCTTACTGATTACCAGCTGAACGTTAGGAAAGCGACGAAGTCGTCGTCGCTTTCCTAACGTTCAGCTGGTAATCAGTAAGCGTTCGATGAGCGCTCGTAGTTCAGGGTCGTGTCGCTGGAGTGTTGCTATGTCGCTAACATCCAGAGCGCCGAGGAAACACTCATCTTCGTCGTCTTCGATGCAGGCAGGACTGGCCCGACTGGGGCCCTTGACAGGCAGTCGGCGTCATTGCGCATCCGGCCAGACTTGTACACCACGGTCATGTAGAATTCCTGCAGTCGTAGGCTCTAGCGGGCGAGGCGTCCGGAGGAGTCATTCAGATTGGCGAGCCAGCAGAGCGAGTGGTGGTCCGCGACAACGTGAAAAGGACTTCCATAGAAATATGGGCGGAACTTTGTTATTGCCCAGACGACTGCAAGGCAGTCCTTTTCAGTCGTTGAGTAGTTCGTCTCCGCCATGTATGCGATGACTCGCTCTGCCACGTCTTGCATCTGGATTATTACCGCGCCAAGTCCGGTGTTACTGGCGTCCGTGTGGATCTCTGTTTCAGCGAACTGGTCTAAATGGCTAAGAATCGGAGGCGTCTGGAGTCTTCGTCTGAGCTCATCGAATGACCGCTGGTGTTCATCAGTCTATTTAACCTTCACGGAGTCCTTCGTGAGGTTCGTCAGGGGTGCAGACAGCTTGGCGACGTCCCGAACAAATTGTCTGTAGAAGGCACAGATTCCTTAGAATCTTCTCATGGCCCTCTTGTCAGACGGCGGCGTAAATGCAGCTACGGCGCGGGTCTTCTCGGGGTCAGGGAGAACACATCTGTTGTTCACGACGTGGCCAAGGAACTTAAGTTCACCATAGCCGAATCGACACTTTGTTGGCTTAAGTGACAGGCCGGCAGTCTTGATGCCTTGAAGCACGGCTCGAAGTCGTCTCAGGTGCTCGTCGAAATCCCGTGAAAATACCACTACCTCGTCCAGCTAGACGAGGCAGCTCTGCCATTTCAGACCTGCAAGCACGGTGTCCACGACACGCTGGAAGATGGCTGGTGCTGTACAAAGCCCGAACGGCATCACTTTGAATTCGTACAGTCTGTCGGGAGTGACGAAGGCAGTTTTCTACCGGTCGCGTTCGTCGACTTCAATTTGCCAGTAACCTCGCTTCAGGTACACCGACGAAAAATATCGGGAGTGGCGCAGTCGGTCTAACGTATCGTCGATGCGGGGGAGCGGATAGACATCCTTCTTTGTCACAGAGTTCAGTCAACAATTGTTCACGCAGAACCGCAGGGTCCCGTCCTTCTTTACAAGGACGGCTGGGGACGCCCACGCACCTCTTGAGTGTTGATTGATGGTTTCGTCGAGCATTTCCTAGACTTGATATTGAATCACCCTCTTTTCCTTTAAGGAGACTTCATAAGGCGACTGGTGGACGGGGAGTGCGTCGTCGTCGGTAATAATGCGATGTTTCGCAATTTGTGTTTGGCGAACTTTCGACCGACGTGGCAAAACAATCCCTGTATTCGGCGAGGAGATCAACCAGTCGCCGGCGCTTAGGAGTTCTGAGCTCGGGGTCAATGTCGAGCTGCGGTGGCGACGTGCTCTTCTGCTGTGACGACGAGGTTTCCTCAGAGATTGCGTTGACGATGGCTGGCACCTGAAGCTCTTCGGCGTGGCCCACGGTGGTACCCTTCGTAAGGTGCTGCGGCTCCTCTCGAACGTTTGTCACGAGAACAGTTGTACGTCCTTCTTGGAGATTCGTTACGCCTCGTGCGGCGCCAATTCCTTTTTCAAAGAACAGTTTGACGCTGCTTTCCAGATCTTCACCGTGTATGGCTGTGTCAGTTATGACGGCGACGAAAACACTCGACCGCGGCGGCAGGGTCACATGGTCGGTAATA